ACCCGATTCAAAAATGGGCATCTGAAATGAAGAGACATTTATCAGACAAAGAAGTAAAAGCAGCAAGTAAATATATGAAAAAATGCTCCACACATCAATGGTCATTCGAGAGATGCAGATGAAAACAACACTGAGATTCCACCTCACCCCACAAAGAATGGCTGCTATCAAGAAATCACACAATAACAAATGTTGGTGGGGTTGTGGGGAGAAAGGAACCCTTCTCCATTGCTGGTGGGAGTGCACACTGGTGCAACCACTATGGAAGTCAATATGGAGATACCTCAAAGAGCTGGGACTAGAGGTTCCATTTGACCCAGCCATCCCTCTTCTGGGTATCTTTCCAAAAGAACTAAAAGAATCATATCAGTGATGTATGCGCACCCATGTTTATAGCGGCACAGTTTGTAATAGCTAAAACTTGGAAACAGCCCATTTGCCCATCAGTTGGAAAATGGATAAAGGACATGTGGTTTTTCTATAAAATGGAATATTACTCAGCCATAAAGAACAAGAAAATAGATTCATTCATAGGAAAATGGATACATATTGAAGATATACTCCCTAAGTGAAATAAATAAGTCACACATGTAAATACTGAGTAGTTTCTCTGGTGTGAATAAACTGTAATAATACATAAGATCCTAATAAGATTACTGACATTGTGAAATGGGAAGAAAGGGACTAAAGGTGTAGGGAAGGTGGGATAGGTAGGGGAAGGGTAATAAGGGAAAAGAAAAAATGTGAGATAATGAAAAGATGGAAATAAAGTGTTTGTAGATGGGGAGGGGAGGAGGGGGTGAAAAGAGGGCAGGGACAAGGGGAAAATATGAGAACCAAGACCTGTCATGTAGAGGTACAAGATCCCAGTGATGAATGTAACTGTACTATAGCCCTAAAATGTACCAATAAATTCAATTAAAGCTGAAAAAAACAAAATGGTAAAATTATTGAAACAACTTTAAGTGTTTACGATTGATGCATGCTCTGTTCTGTTGTCATTTTTATAACCAACAGAAATCCTGCCCTTACAACACAGTGACAGAGTCCACCCTAATTAAATTGAAAGTTTGTAACAGTTAACACTATCCCTAGGCAAAGAACACATCACTGAAAAACAGATTTTTAACTAAAGATATCTTCATAACAACAAACTCTCTTCATTCTACTCATTCTATTTGACCCCAACATTAAAAAAACAAACAAACAAAAAAATAAATAAACAAGGCATGGGCCAGGGATTTATCTCAGTGGTTCTGCTGCCTGCCTCCCAAGTGCAAGGACTCAAGTTCAATCCCTAGTAATCCCCTGCAAAAAAGAACAAGGCAACAAAAAGTTCCTAAAGTCTTCTAACTCTCCCAAAGCAGATCCAAGGGGCACTGAGGCAGAGGAAAGCAAACCCGCGATATCAAAGCTTTACAAAATAATTTTAAAAGAGCTAAAGAAATTTGGTGAGTTCACAGAGGACATGAGATGAAAGATGGTGGAATTAAAATACAAACCAGCCAATGCAGAATGGGAGAAACAAATAAAAATTGAAAGAGCTGGCTGAAGTGATACAAAACAGGAATGACAAATGCACCAAGAAATAGATTGCACAAAAATGTGTCAGATAGAAATTCCAAGGCTAAAAAATGGTATAGAATTCATAAACTGTCAAAATGACCAATGTGGAGAAAAGGTTTCTGGAGTTGAGGACAGATAGGGAAAATCACAATGAATTATGAAAGACTTTTAAAATGATAAGAGAACAAAAAATTCATGGGATAGCTAATAGATGATGCTGAGAAAATTTAACCTAAGGCTAATTTGAGCTAGAGAAAAATTAGAAGACAACACACATGGAATAAATAAAATCTATTTACTGAAATCATAATAGAAAACTTTCCATGTATGAGGAAAGATCTGAAATGAGGCTCATAGAACACCAGTTAATTACAGTGAAAAAGAAGCTCCCCATGATACACTGTAATCCAAATTCCAGTTGATCAACAAAAAGACAGAATCTTAAAAGCGGTCAAAGAAAAACAAAAATCACATATAAAGACAAATTATCAGGATTACAGCAGTTTTCTCAACACGAACTTTAAAAGCCAGGAGAGCTTGGAGTGAAGTGTTCCAAGCTCTAAAAGCAAACAACTTCAACTCAGACTAATGTATTCTGTAAAGCTGTCTTTCAAAATTGGTGGAGAAATAAGAACGTTCTACAATGAAGAACATCTTAAGAGATACATGAACACCAAACCAGCATCCCCCAGAAAACACTAAAAAATATCTTAGACAGAACAAAGCCAACAAAGCTAAAAAAGCAGGTGTAATGAACACATCAAGCAAGTCAAGTACTTTATAAAGGAAAAATAAAGTCTTCAATGGAAAAAGAATGCAATGATAGGAATAAATCAATATCTTTCAGTAATAACCCTCAATGGCCTCAACTCCCCAATAAAAAGACATGGATTGGCAGGCTGGATTAAAAAACAGAATTCAACAGTCTATTGTGTTCAAGAAACTCATCCAATCCAAAAAGAAATCCATGGGCTGAAAATCAAAGGTTGGAAAAAAATATGCCATGAACCATGACCCCAAAAGCAAACACAAGTAGCAAAGTCATCCTTAGACAAAGTAAACTTCAAGCTAAAACTGATGAGAAGAATCAAAAAAGATCATTACATATTAATTAAGGAAACAATTAACAGAAAGAGAGAACAAGTGTAAATATATATGCACCAAAAACAGGTGCACGTAATTTCATAGAGAAAACACTGCTGGACATAAAAGTTCAAATAAATACAATCATAGTGGGTGACTTCAATACCCCACTTACATATGAACACAGAACAGCTAAACAAAAAATTGATTTAAAAAATCAGAGCTTAACCACATCTTAAACACACAGACTGAATAGATATCTACAAAGTGTTCGACTCTAATGCAACAGAATACACATTCAGCATTGTACACAGAACTTCCTCCAAGATAGATCATGTACAAGTCCATAAAGCCTGCTTAAATTAATACAAAAGAATCAAAATCACACTATGTGTGATATCAGCTCACTGTGCACTAAAACTAAGTGTCAATCACAAAAGAAAAATTATACAGACTATAAACCACTGGAAATTTAATAACACACTTCTGAACACTCACTAGGTCATAGAAAGAAATCAAAGAAGTAAATAAACAATTCCTGAAATCAAACAATGCCAGTACAATGTACCAGATTTTATGGGACACAATGAATACATACCTAAGAGGAAAGTTTATTGCAGTTATTGCTCACATTAAAAAAACAGAGCTAGCTCAAATCAATAACTTAGTCATGATTCTACAGCAAGACAAGGTCACAACTAAAAAAGAACACATACAGGCCAATCTCCTTAATGCATATCGATGCAACAATAAGATATTGGCAAATGATGCAACAAATCATCAAAAACATCATATGTTGTTGTGACCAAGTGGGTTCAATATATGCAAATCAATAAATGTAATATTTCACAAAAGCAAGGGCATAAACAGAAGGGCAAAAATCGCACTATCATATCAATAGATGCAGAAAAACCTTTTGATAAAATAAAAAAACTATTCATAATAGAAAATAAAAAAACACCTGAAGAAAATAGGTACAGAGGGTCTTGCCTCAATACGTTAAAAGCCATTTATGAAAAACCAATGGCCAATATCATATTATATAGAGGAGAAGCTGCAAGATTTCTCTTTAAAATTAGGAACAAGACAAGACATTATCACCATCCCTCTTTAAAAATAGTACCAGAAACATTAGTCAGAGCAATGGAAAAAAAATAAAATGGATATACATCAGAAAGGAAAAAAATCAAATTATTATGACTTGCAGATGACATGATCCTTTGTATTGAAGACCAAAAAAATTTCACAAAAGACCTTTAATATTAATAACCAAATTTATCAGTGTAGCAGGGTACAAAATTAACACACAAAAATCAATAGCTTTTCTGTACACCAATAACAAATACACCGAGAAAGAAATTAGGGAAACAATATCATGCACAATACCATTAAAAAATTACTTAGGAATAAACCTAACCAAGGAAGTGAAAGACCTCTACAAAGAAAACCACAGTACTTTGAAAAAGGTGGTCAAAGAGGACATCAGAAAATGGGAAGATATCACTTGTTCCTGAATAGGCAGAACCAATATTATCAAAGTGGCCACATTCCCAAAACTGTTGTACAGACTTAATGCAATCCCAATCAAGATATACTAGCATTTCTTACAGAACTAGAAAAAAACAATCCTAAAATTTATATGGAACCAAAAGTGATCCAGAATAGCAAAAATAACCCTGGGTATTAAGAGCAAAGCAGGAGGCACCACAATCTAAGATTTCAAGTTTTATTACAAAACTATAGCAGTGAAAAAAAAAAATCAGTATGGCCCTGGCACAAAAACAGATATGTGGGTCAATGGAACAGAATAAAGAATGGAGAAACAACCCCAGACTCAGTCAGCCAAAAACACACATTGGAGAAAAATAGCCTCTTGAACAAATGGTGCTGGGAAAGGCTATTCACATGCAGAAGATTGCAGCTAGACTCATATCTTTTGCCATATACTAAACTAAAATCAAAATGGATCAAAGACCTAAATATCAAAACAGAAACACTTAACCTGCTGGCAGATAAGGTAGGTAAAACTATTAAAGACTTTGCAGAACCCCAGTGACTCAAGAAATAACATCAAGAATCAGTAGTTGGTATCATATCAAATTATAAGGCTTCTACATATCAAAGAAGACCACCACAAGAGTGAAGAGACAACTTCCAGAGGGGAAAAATGTTTGCCAGCTACATCTCAGACCGAAGGCTAATATCTAGAATATATAAAGAACTAAAAAATATTAGACCCCTCACAATAAAATCCCATCAAAAAATGGGTAACTGAAATGAATGGAACTTCTCAGAAGTGTGGCTGGCCAATAAATACGTGAAAATGACCTTGCTGCTCCCCATATTCTTACCCTCCCTCGGCAGGTGCACAAAGAACAGGTCCTGTGAGCACACATTGAGATGACAGCCCATCTGCAAGACAAGAGAAGAGGCCTCATAGTGAAACCCACTTTGCTGATACTTTAATCTCAGATTTCCCAGCCTCCAGAATAGTGAAAAATGTATTTCTTCTGTATAAGCTACCCAGTTTATGATACTTTGTGAGGCAGCCCAAGCTGACCAAGGCAACTGGCAATGAAAATATAAAGAAATGTCTCAATTCATATTTGAAAATCCAATTCCTGAAATGTAACTCTATATGGAGATGTGGTCTTGAAAGGGGTGATGAAGTTAGCATGAAGGCACTAGAGTGGGCCCCTAATCCAGTATGACAGGTGTCCGATATAAGGGAGGCCTTGGGGTGGTCATGTGCAGAAGGACAGCGATGGGAACAGGTAGCTGCAGGGTGGCCATCTACAAGCTGAGGAGAGGCCTTGGAGGACCCAGCCCCACAGGCTCCCTGACCCTGGACTTGCATATTCCAGAACAAAGCAAAATGTCTGTTTACGCCACCCAGTATGGGGTATTTTGCTATGACAGCCCTGGAAAAATTAATACAGAATGTGAAAAGAAAATCAAGAAAATAACGAATGTTAGCTAAGAGAAAAAATTTTAAATGACAGCAGAAAAACAGGCTGAAAAAGAACATGAAACAAAATAAGAAGCTAAAGAAATGTCTTCCCTGTCCTCATATCCTGGTTGTTTTGTTTCATCTCGTTTTACAAAGGGAGACATTTTCATTTTTTTTATTTTACAAGAGGAAAGGCCAAGTGAAGCCCTGAGCAATTCCCCAGGGAACTGAATTAATATAAACCATATAAATAATTCAGCTCAAAAGCCTCCTTTATCTCCCTTAGCAATGCTTTTTAAACTTATAACATCTATATAACTGCTTTCTTAAACTTGCCTCTGCAAATAACCCTGATACTTTGCCAGTTCTAACACAGCAGACGTAAGGCAATATTCACAAACAAAATCTCAAGATAAAAAAAATAATAATCATGAATTCCAATGGAACAATAGTGAGGAGTCCACCAAAATCGATGGGATGCTGTCCTAGTAACTTTCTCATTGCCAGGATTTGGTACCTGACACCCACAACTTAGCAAAGGACAAGCTTATTTTGGCTTATGTTTTTAGTCCACAGTTGGCCAGCTCCAAGGCAGAAAGGTATGGTGAAAGGTCTGGGAGAAGAAAGCTTCTCCTCTCAATGATGGGAGCAAAAGGAGGAAGGTAGTGCCCATTGACCCCACTGACCCCCTCTGCCAACCCGGCCTCCCCCGCCATACCACATTTAGCTGCAGTGCTGTCAGCTCCAATTACCTTGCAAAAGCCCCGCCTATGAGCGCATGAGGCTTTGTAGGGGAAGGGCTTGTAGACAGAAACCGTAACGGAAACTTGCTACATATCTGAAGATATGTAGAGAAGGTGATGACATAACTTCAGTTAAATGTCCAGGATATTGAACAATGTTTGAAAGACTATGGTTTACGTGGAGTTGAGAAAACAAAATCTAGTAAAAAAAAAAAGAGAGAGAGATTAAAATCTTCATGTCAATTATTTTTTAAAAATGAATATAGTTACATTTTTCCCTTGCTGGCAACAGGTCCACATGGACTTTAAAGTCTATTTTCTGGAGGATCTGATAACTGAAGGAGTTTACAAAGCACAACAACGCCACACTTTTTCTGTACTGTGAAGGACACTTATAGAAGATTTTAGCAAACTTGGGGAAAAACAAGCATATCAAACCAAAAGCTCACCCTTGGATGCTGGGACATGTGTCTGCAGAGCACACTGCTCTTCCCATCCAAGACTCCTTGGCCAGGGTGCTGGAAAGCAAGACATCTTTTTTGTGTCTCTAGATTTATATGGCTTAATCATAAAGACAACCACCTTTTGACATGGCTTTTCTGATTAACACTTGCATTGGAACTGTGAGTCTCATGAGATGAGGAAAAAAACCACCAGAAATAGATTCGAGGGGCTTTTTCAAAACAAACATTCTCACATGTCCCCTTCCCTGTCCTTGAGGGGCCAGAGGACAAGGAGCGCTAGTAGCCTTGGGACATGTGGGGTCCTTGGGCTCCCTTGGTGACATGGGAGGGGTGGCGAGAAGAGCACAAAAGAGCGGATGTGCCGAAATATTTTGCAGCCCTACGAAAACAGTAGTTGAAAAGGAGAGTCCTCATCTTGCTTTTATTTCACCTACTTTTACAAAACAATTATTTGAAACATTCTTACAAAAGGTTTTAGAAAGATGCATAAACAACCTGCAGGATGCAGGAGTAACATCCTTTAACACAAAGACAACAACATGAACAAGATCTGGGGTGCTAGGTAGCAGCATGATACAAGTATTAACCAAGAGAATTCTCCAGGGCAATCACTTCTGTTGTTTCTGACTTAATATTATTAGTGATTTGCTTGATCTGTTATCCTTTTCTCCTCCAAGCCATTATCAGAGGCTTCCCAAGTGCTTGTTAGAAGCGTTAGTGATAGCACTCCGCTCGTTAGTGATAGCACTCTGCTCAGACAGGCTATAACTTCAACTAACAGCTAGAAGAATTAAAAAAGATAATCATAATCATAGTAACTGACACATCAAGAAAGAAAGGTACCCTTAAGCATAATTATTTCTGCACATTTTTCAAAGGGCAACAAAGTTGAATTTGACATAGATTTTTATTCCTTGGTGAGACCTTAGGTTACTTGTGCTGAAATGGGAGTTCTTCAGCTACAGAATTATGATGGGAAGAGCCAAGGATTTAGCTCAGTGATTCTGCCGCCTGCCTTGCAAGCACAAGGGCCCAAGTTCGATCCCCAGTACCCACCCCTAAAAAAAAAAAAGAATTATGATGCGGAGGGAAAAGACAAAACAAACACAATGGGAACTAATTGTACTTGGCTGCGGGCCAAAACGGTGAGGAGGTGCCCATCTGATTTCCTATAAAAGTACAGGTATGATTTCTTTACTTTGCTGATTTTGACACAAGCATGACCATTCTGTGTAGCAGCAACATGTTTACTTTCAAAAATGCAAGCCGCACTAAAAATTAAAGCCTGCACAACTGTTCTCTGTCAGTCACCATAAAGATATTGAGAGGTTTTTAGAATAAATCTTTATACAGTGAGCACAATGCACAATCTCTCTTTACATAATTTAAACCCTCTTAGCAAAAAAAAAAATGAAAATAAATTAAGACATAGTTTTTCTGATAAACTTACCGATGAGGTACTATGATGGCTCCGAGGATGGAAATCACAAAATACACAGTGCAGCTGTGAAGAGGCGGGAGCCTCCTCTACAGCAGGCGAGGCCCAGTAAGGCGCTTCCGTATTCTGTTTTGCAGAATGCTGATATCCTAAATCTCACAAATACGCAAGAAAGCTTCACATGGATCCTTAGCAGGATTTAAGGTGCCATTCCAAGAGAATTTTAAGGGTGTTTTCTGGTTTGTGAAGGCAAAGCAGTTATATCCACTGACCTGAAAACCTCAGAAGAACCCTCTTCAGGATTTGAAAAACACCAAATAAATCTAAATGCGAAATGCACTCCAGTGAAGATTTGAGACAAGACCAAACCTTTCTTCCTAGCTTGGTCGTAGAACAATTGAGCAGTAAACAATCCCCAGCTCTTCCTCATTCCTGCTGCAGGCCAGCACACAACCTCAAATGGAGCATTCAGGAGGTCCCCACTCCCACCAGCCAGAACCCTTCACCTCTCAGCCCTCAAAGTGTCCCCCCCGCAGCTGTCCTCCCTCCTTCTCACACCTTTTTGACCTTTTCACTTCTGCGGGTGATTTTCCCCTCAGGAAGAGAGTTCTCCTCACCTCTGTCCCCACCCTGGCTGGGTACTTGCCACTTTGTCCCCTTGTGAGCTTGGGCAAGTTAGTTTCCTTACCTGTAAAGTGGAGATGAGAATAACACCTGCTTTACAGGACCATGAGAAGCTGAAATGAACCAATATTTTACGGCTCAGAATAGTCCCTGGCCAGAGGCAAGCTGCCGGTAAACCTGGCTGTCATCCTTACTAACAGATCTGAAAAGCAAGATGCTTTTAATATTCTATCCTTTCTTGTTGCTGTAGCTTTGAAAATAAGACATTTGTTCTACCTCCTTGCCATCCTGACTGCTGTCCTCTCTGTGTCCTCCTTGTGACCCCTCTTCCGGTGCTATGTCCCTTCTGCAGCCTGACACCCTCCCACCAGGCACAGGTCCCCAGCTGCCCCACCCAAGAAACAGGTCCCCCTGCTTCCCCTGCTCTTTCTCAGCCTCTGCACTCTCCTGCCTTCCTCACCTCCTCTCCTCCTTTGGAGACTCGGTCACCCACTTATCTTTCTGCTCCTCACCTCCACCGCAGAACTTTCTTCCACCACACTTCAAATGTCATTGCTCCCTGAATTTTGCTCCTCCATCTCTCAGATCTATACTTCCAGCCAGTGCTATCCCCTGAGCTCCAACCTGGAGGTGCACCTGCCTCCTACTCATCCCAGACACCTCCTGGTCATCACGCACAACACTGATGTCCTTCCCCACCTCCAGCCTGCCACCCCTCCAGCCCAAGAACGACTCCTTGCTCCTCACCACACGCAGCTGCTCACCAGGGCTCATATGTGACTTTCCTGTTCTGTCCTCTCCAGCCCACCGTAGTGTGAATGCTCCATCCTGACCTCCCTGTGATCCTGGCCCATCTTTCCAGACTCCCCACAATGGCTGTTAGCCATAACACAGGAGCCCAAACCCAGCTGGCCACTTTTGTTTTCTCCTGTGAGCCTTTGGTTTTCTGTTCCCTCTGCTTGAAGTTTCCCTCTCTCCTTCCCCACCCAGCTGACTCAGACTGCCCGTCCTTCACTGCACTGGGGTCCCTGGCCTGTGCCCCATTACTCCAGCCCCTAGAACCGGGCTTGTGACATTTTCCCTTCTGTCTTCCTCTAGCCTGGACAACTCTCAAGACAGAGGCCATTTCCTCTGTCCCTTCTCCTTGGTGCCTAGCAGGACAGTTACTTCAAAATCAGCACTCAAATCTTTGCCAGGTAAGTTTATGAACACAGAAAAATGAATTAACTGTTCACTTTTTGTTTTTTGTTTTTCAGTACCTGGGGCTGAACTCGAAGCCTTGCACATGTGAGGCTGGGAGCTGCACCACTGAGCTAAATCCCCAGCCCCTACTATTTCACCTTTCTTAAGATTATAATGGTTGACAAGAAAAGCATCAGAATAAGTGATAGAAAATATAAACTTCTAGATTAGTGTTTCCATTGCTCAAGATGAAAACACTGACATCCACCAACAAAATAAATGGAGAAATTCTTCATATTTTTACTTAGTAAAACAACAGGCAAAACCTAGCATACCCAAGAGAAGCGTATACCCTGAGCAGCTCTGCAAATCTACACAAGATTCTGTGGCCAGAGGTTGTCTCTGAGAAGAGGCCCAGGAGCTCCCAGCAGTGAGGAGGAGAAGCAGCTGGATGTGCACTCTCTTCATTCCTGTGTGTCAGTTAATCTGCCAGGAAAAGAGCATGGTACAAAGGCTGGAAGTCCCACTTCTGTCACTGTTAGGGTAGATAAGCTTGGGCAGTAAGTACTGCCTTCCTCTATGTCCTTCTCCTTTTCTGTACCACAGTGGCAATGTTATATGGAAAGTAATTTTTGCAAAGAATTTAAAATAGAGCAGTTTGAGTGTCCACTAAATAAAATAAATGATTCTTTTAAATCCATGGTCCTTTGATTCTTTTTTTTTCTTTCTTTTGAGACAGGGTCTCACTAAGTTACCCAGGCTGGCTTTGAGCATGTGATCCTCCTGCCTCAGGCCCATGAGGGCTCACACAGTTCTAATGAACTCTTACAGATATCTTTTTAAAAGTTTTTATTTTTTAGTCAATTTATAACACTGTGCCATTATGGTTTATCTATTTTCTTTTTGTGAGGTTCAGTTTCTTGATTTAAAGAATATCTATATTCCCATTTTTATCTTTTTAAAAAGAGGAACATGACGTGCTGGCATGAAGGAGGTCCTTCTAGGAAATTCCATCCTCTAAAAAGAAGGTGGAGAGCTCTCCAAAAACACCTCTTTGTGTAGGCCAAAGAGTCCAAATTATTTAGCTTTTTATTTTTTTCCTTTTATTTTTAAATGTCTCTGGCAAATCATAGCAGAGAACACAATGTTCATGCCTTACTTTTCTCCAGTCTGCCTGGCATCCTTCTGATGACTTAGAGTCACCTGAACTATTAACATCAAGGATGTATATTCTGCAGGCTGCACCAATCAGTATGGACACAGCGTGCTGTATGCAATTCGCTATCCCAGTTTCCTCATGGCGGGACTGTTGGTTACCAGAATGACCGATTTCATGTTGGCCTATCAGATCATCTTCCGAATCTAAATTTTGCTCTACTTCCCGCTTTTTATAACAAGTTGGAGCCTAGAGTGGAGTGACTCTAGAAGCATTTTTGTCTTCTTTGCAGCCACCTAACCCCTGCCTTAGGAATAGGATGGTTCCCAGGCAAGAGCAGCTGTCAGGATGGCTTGGGAGCAAGAAAAACAAGGTATGCAGACCAAAAACATTTCTCAATCTCAGAGCCAGCCCAGTGAAGCCTTTACTGAGCATCTGCTATTGGGACACAGGCGACACTCTACTAGGTTGCTGAATCCCCAAGAGCAATCTGCACATCACTTGTGTGGACAAGAGGGGAAACCCAACACTGAAACATAACTAGATGCTCAGGATTTCACTGATACTGTTGCTGAGGACAAAGCTAAGTTCAAAAAGCCAATCTGATTTAACATGTTAAGCAAACTGCAGCTTATATGGCACACAAGGTGAAGGAAATGCTCTGCTGGAGCACTTGTGGGGATACAAAATACCCTGCCCTACAAGAGCTCAATGGTCTAGCAGGGTAGACAAAGACACACAATCAAATAACAAAGGCAGACTGTGGTGTGGATGGTGAAAGGGGAATGTGCTAAGTGTCGCACAGACATGCACAGACCCCAGCAGGAGAGCTGGGGTGCTTGGATTTGGGTGGACTCCTTGGGGGGAGGACACACACTTGGAAGGCACTCACACAATGCAGGGCAGTTTGACAGGAGAGGTGAGAAAGTGGAACATCCTCTCTGGAGAGGCTGTATGGGGGGGACGTGGAAAAGGAGTGGGCTTGGGGTGACACCAGGGAGGAGACAGGAAGGACTGCAAGGGAGGGTGAGTGTGAGAAGGAGAAGATGTGTGAGGAAACACAGAAGGTGGGCAGGGGGGCAACCTGGAAAGACCTGAATTGGGGTTGAATGTGGATTTTTATTCGGAAGGTGCTGGGGGGTGGTACCACTTTTGCCCGATCTTGATGGAATCAGGGGATGGAGTGCAGGGAAAAGAGGAGATTCGGGAGGGGATCTGGTGGGGGTTGATGAGGAACTTCCCTGCAGACCTGAAAGCTGGCAAGCAGAGTAAGTTTTGAGGGACAATGTGAGGGTTTGATGATTAATGGATTAAGAGAAGAGGAGGGAAAGAACAGGGTGAATAAAAAGCTAATCCTGTGATATTATACTTGAGGCCATTAGCTTATCCTATATTCAAAGTAGAAAGCAGAAGGATGAAGAACTTTCAGTTGCTGGCCAATCCCACTGGGATAATACTGAATGTATTGTAAGTGAGCAGGAAAGTTGGAAGTCGAGAGAACAGGGGTCTGCAACCTGGAAGTGAGGCGAGAACAGAGGCTGTGCGGGAGCAAGGGAAATCACATGGAATCTCGGAGAATGAGCCACTTCAGGGGCAATCAGAAAAGGAGGAGGCCCTGAAGGAGACAGAGGGGACACAGCAAAGAAACTCTGAAGAGGCAGCTTGGGGGAGGAGAGAGAGGCAGTGGCTGAGGGTCTCCCCAGTCACTGCTAGGAAGGGTAGCAGCACAGCACCCCCACCTGTGCCTCTGCCCCTCCCTGGCTCCCACCTCCTCCTGACGAGAAGGGTCGCACCAAGCCCATGTATAACCCACCTTCCCAGCCTCTTCGGCCCTCCATGAAGCTAAGTGACATCTGAGAATGGCTGTTGTCACTCTCCCTGCCCAGGCAAATGGCTTACACCTCCAGCAACAAAAGGACTCAGAAGGAACTCTTGTGCCCAAACCCCCTTAGGTTTCAGGTCAGCTGAAAACCAGCAGTCCCACAACCCATCCACCGGGTGCCACAGGATTACTCAGGGAGCAGACAGCCACCAGAATGTGCTGAGACCAGCGCAAAAGTGGGAGGCAGAGGCAAGGGCTGGGCTGGTGATGGCGGAGCTCACGCTACTGCAGTGCTGGCTTTGTGCCAAGGGTACTGACAGGACCTTTTCTGGCAGGCTCAGCAGTGGTGGAAGGCGACTGGTGGACAATAAACAGTGGCCAAGATCCCACTTACCAACAGTGAGCAGGCTACTCCTCATGTTTCTGCAAACCTCCATTTTTACATGACAAACTGGCTCCCCATAAATAAAAATACAGAGAGCAATTGGTGACTCTGGTCTCTCCTACCTCAGCAAGGTTCTATGAACTGATGAAGACCTGTGGTGTGGGGATCCAGACTCGGTGAGCTCCATGGAGAGCAGGACCATGATGCTGGCTGTTCCTGCCTCCCATGGCCAGAGACCTGAAACACTGGGAGGATTAAGACAGCAGCAAGAGCAAAAGACAGCCACGCACACATGAGGAGAGTGACACAACTAATTTCCCATAGTCTTTTCCACCCTCTGAGAATGAGGATAAATAACAAAACTTAACCTCAAAAATAACTTTGTATAGGCATCACCCCCATGATTCATACCTACATTCTGTGAAACAGGGGCATCAATAAGCTTGTGGATAACTCAAAACAACTCAAGAAGAAAAACAGTAATCCATTTTCGTTTTGGTTGGTTTTAGTAATCCATGTTTGATCCACCAAGTAAATGAGCTACATATGCATAAAGATCCAGCTTAATATTGAGGTTAAGATGAGCCTCCTTGAATTGGAATTTGTTTAGGGTAAGGAATGAGAATTTGGGAAAATGAAATACCTGTGGACTTTTCATTTCAATTTTTAAAGTCAAGCAATAGTTTAATGTGCTTTTCTTTACAGTTAATTTGAAGAAGACTTCTAGTATATCTGTTTGTAAGGAAAGACAGCTGTTCATGTGCCCCTCGATAAGTTAAGGCAACTTCGTTTTTTCTAGGTCATACATATTTACAAATAACTGATAAAAAAACAGAACATTCTTCTAAGAAAGAAATTAACATATGCAAAGTTTTGCATGCGATGTTACGGTATTGAGAAAATCCATAGGATTTGTCACAATACCCTTATTAAATATTCCTATGTTGGACATTTTTCAAGGTATGTACCTGTGGTTTTAAAGAAAGAGAAAAACGAAGAAAAGCTGGACCTAAAAATGCCATCATATATGTAATTATAATACATAAAATATTACTGGCTGGACTATTGCCTTTTTGCATATAAATATAGTCAATTCAGCACATATGACTTGAGAGTCAAGCACTGGGCAGATCATACCTGATCCGGGATCGAAATAGGGGAAAGCTGTAATTTTTCCTGGCTGGGCAGGAATCCACCCCAGACGCCAAAAGCGCCTCATGTCCCAAGGCAGTGCTGTGTGCCCTGATGTTCAGAGTGCACTCTTTCCTGGGTTGCTGCACAAGGGAGCAGAACAAGGCCTCAGTTGAAATATAAACAACTTCACACTCTTGTGTTAGCACTCAGTGGCTCCCCTAGTGTCATATTTTAAGTACTAGTGTTATTTTGCCCGTCCGCTGCTATATGTCTGTCCAGGACTGTCATTTTCATGGTCAAGAAAGGATCCCAGGGAGCGCTTCCTCAAAATGCCTTCCTCTACTCCACTTCTAAACCACACCTGCTAGCGATTCACGTAGCCATCTGTTAGCTGCAGGCAGAGACTTTACCTTGGGTTCATGTGTGAAGGATCATGCGCTCAGGCAGTGTGCACCCCTGAATGACTCCATGAAGCCCACACCGCCTCCTCACTCCAGCCAGGTACACCTCTGAGTAAGGAATAAATATATACTGTGTTAAGACGCTGACACTGGGGATGCCTCTATTAAAGTTCACCTTAATTACCCCAGGAGACAGTATCTATCGCAGAATTAGTGTGACTTTTTTCCTGAGTGCAGGGGATCAAGACCCAGAGAGGCAAGTGCTACATCACTGAGCTACATCCCAGGCTCCAGGGAGTGTAATTTTAAAAAATGCTTTGTAGCACAGTTTGTAATAGCTAAAACTTGGAAACAGCCCATTTGCCCATCAGTTGGAAACTGGATAAAGAAGATTCGTTTTTTCCATAAAATGGAATACTACTTAGCCATAAAGACTAATAAATTAGATTCACTCATAGGAAAATGGATACATATTGAGGATATACTCCTACGTGAAATAAATAATTCACACAGGTGTAAATACCGAATAGTTTCTCTGGTGTGAAAAACTATAAAAGTACATTAGATCCTAATGAGGTAATTGACAATGTGAAATGGGAAGAAAAGGGCTAAAGGTGTAGGGAAAGTGGGAAGGGTAGGGGAAAGCTAATAAGGGAAAAGAAAAAAATAGGAGAAAATGGAAATACAGAGTTTGTAAATGGGGAGGGCAGGAGGGGGTGAAGGGAGGGCAGGGACAAGGGGGAAAAATGAGAACCAAGACCTGTCATGTAAAGGTACAAGATCCCAGTGATGAATGGAACTGTACTGTATACCTAAAATGTACCAATAAACTCAATAAAAATACTTTGTAGTATATTGACTTAACTCGAGGTGAGAAATTGTATTGGAGAAGCGATTTATGGTTATGGGTTAGTGCTCTGTTTTGGGAAATCATCAGCCGCTCTCCTATCTTCCCCTTGCTATAAAATGTGAAGGTTCCCCTAAATCTCAAACGTAGGTGCCATCAACTCACCTAATACAGCCCCCAATTCCTTTTTAAAAGGTATGGATGAAGTTCTCTCAAACTGGCAGAGACCTCCTTCTCCTGAGCAGCTTTATTCATATTAGCTGTGCATTAATCACCTAGAAATTTGAGAGCCATAAAACAGTAATAAGTAATTTAGTAATAAGTAAATGAAAAGAAGTCACTCATTAGCTAAAATTCAATTTCAAACAATGGCAAAACTTAAAATGTATTGCTATAAACATTGATATATATATATATATGGTTTTTTTTTCTTTGTACTGGGGATCGAACTGAGGACCTTTCGCTTGCAAGGCAAGAAGAGGAACCACTGAGTTAAATCCTCTGCCCATACATTGACATACTATTGTTTAATAATTATACAATTATATAACTTTCTGGAGAGTTATGTAAACTATGTTGTTAAGGGAATGATATTTTCCAAATTGAGAACTGAAATAAAATCTCTGAGAACTTTTTTCTCGGGGAGAGGGAAAGCACTCCTGGATGCAAGTGGCATTCTTGGTGGTACAGTTTGCCAAAATAGGAACAGGAAAGTTACTTCAGAGGTTTATGGCATTTTTCTCACTAAGAAGTTGCATTTAAAAACAGTCCAAAAAGTTCCTCCAGCACTCTGGAAGGCTGAGGCAGAAAGGGCACAAGTTCCAGCTCAGCCAAGGCAACTTGGAAAGACCTAATCTTAAAGTTAAAAAATTTTTTTTCTGAGGCTAGGGATAAGTTAGGTAAGGCAGCCTCTGGACTCAAGCCTCAATATTACGAAAAAGTCTTTGGGGGATGGATTTATGTATATTACAGTTGGAAACGACTGACCTACCACAATAAAAAAGAAAGACTATTTCAGTTAGAGCCATCTGCATATTGAACCGATAGGACAGATTACATCCTTCAGACGTCCCAGCGGCCCCCTCCTCTGTCCGGGTTTCCCATCGCAGAGCACCCCTGACCACCCTCAATAAAACAGTATACACACATCCCCCATTGACACATTCCACATGGACCCCAAGGCAGTCTCCATTCCTCACCCTGTTTTATTTTTCTTAATTACATTTCTAGGCTGGATCCACTGACGGTTCAATTCTTGCCGAATGAATAGAAGGAGTGAATGTTCAGTATGATGATAAGCATGGGAGCATAGGATCAACTTCCCTCACACAAGATGCCGATTATATTTATAGAATGCAACCCAGGCCATCTTTGCAAAGTGACATTATGGCCTTTATCGTCTACATTTCTTTTTTCTGTAAATCTTCTACAATGAACACATATGTTTACATAAAACAGAAAGTTGTTTTGTTTAGTTTTTTGGTACCGGGGATCGAACGCAGGTCTTTGTGCTTGCAAGGCAGGTGACAGAACCACTGAGCTAAATCCCCAGCCTGAGAAAGGTTTTTAAAAGAAACTATTTTAAAATATTGTCTACCTGCTCTGTCAATATGTCTGAATTGGTCTTCATATTTACTCGGAAGAACTACAAGTCTTCCCATCAAACTATCCCAATCTAACTAGTTATTCCCAAAATAAAACATAAAATAACTCACCCAGGGGAATCCCCATTATCGCACCACAGACGAGTGTACAGGGAAAAGGGAGAAGGCCAGAGCAGTCCTTCTGCCCACTACACCTGAGCCAATGCTCTCAATGGTGTAAGCAGCGATTTCTACCACACCTATCACTGAGCAGAGACCTGGGGCCCCACTGCATGGGGCACCCCACCTTCTAACCCACTCCCCAAAGGATCCATCAGCACCCTCCTCACTCCAGGAACCTAGAAGAACTATCTACGGACCGCCTGAGGGGAACTGAGTCCTACCATTTTTAGACACCAAAGAAAGGATGAGCGTTTCCTATGAAAAAGTGCTCTGGGGCTCACAGAGTGTACCTGGCATTTACTGTGACAGGAGCCACACTTTCCAACACAGCATGGGACCTGAAAGGTAGGCATCTTGACAAAAAGAAAGAAAAGTAACAGATCTCTTTACTTCCAATATTTGGTTTCTTATGCTTGGCAGAACTAGGGGGAAATTTTTATAACCATAACTTCAAACTCAGAAAAAGTTCATGACAACCAAAATGGAGGCCCTATTTTAGCTAGATACCCCTCCAGACTGACTGCCCATAACTAACATTTCCCAACTCCACCTCTAATCATAAATGAAAACGTCAGGTGTACGGCCTCATTAGCACCACTTGTTAGCATGACTCATTGAAAAGAAACCACTCAACTACAGACAGATCAGTTTAAACTGCTCTGTTGGCCCTAAAAAGAAAGTTAATATATGGAGCCAGTCACAGAAAAAAAAAAAAAAAAAAAAA